GTGGCAGTGGGAGTAGGAGTAGCAGTAGGGGTGGTCGTCGTACAAGTACTAGTACTTGTACTTTTCCTAGTGGTAGTAGTAGTAGTAGTAGTAGTAGCAGCAGCAGCAGCAGTGGCAGTCGCAGTGGCAGTAGCAGTTGCAGTAGTAGTAGTCGTCGTCGTAGTAGCAGTAGTAGCAGTAGCAGCAGTAGCAGTCGTAGCAGTAGCAGTAATGAGTCGTCCCTTGGTGGTGGTGGTGTTGGCGGCGGCGGCAGAGGTGTTAAAAGAAGAAAAGCAGAAGTAGCACAAGAAGCAGTGGTGGTATTCGTGGTGGTGGCAGTAGCAGTAGCAGTAGCAGTAGCAGCAGTAGTAGCAGCAGCAGCAGCAGGAGTAGTAGTAGTAGTAGTAGTTGTTGTTGTAGTTGTTGTAGTAGTTGTTGTTGTTGTGGTGGCGGTAGCAGTAGTTGCTCTCGCAGTTGCAGTTGTTGTAGTTGTTGTGGTTGTGGTACAAAGCGACGTAGACCCTGCTGTATCTATCAACAGAAGCAACAAAGCCGAACTCTTATCCCATGCCGTCAGCTCCAGAGGGCCTTCTTCTGGCAAGCGAGGTCTGGCAGAACGACAGGCTCCGGAACGACGTTCGGCAGAGCAACAGGCCGCGCCCCTTCCTCGACACACAGCTTGACGACATCCGTAGTAGCGGTAGCAGCACTCGTCGCCGTGAGCAGGGCTGACAGTAGCAAACGCGGAAGCTTCGTAGCAGCAGCCGCATTATTTTTGGCCACCCACACAGCAATGGCAACTGCGAGACTCCAGGACCCCATAATTTCTCGAAACAGGACGCGACAAACCTATCAACCCGCAAACTGGTAGGTAAGCCATGAGCGTGTAGTACTAAGCTTACCGATACCTGGGGCGACTGCAAAAGGAGACAGGGGGATGCACGGTATGAACATGAAACCTCAGGGAGTGAACAGAATGCCACTCCGGAAATCAATTTCGATGTACTAAGGACAGTAAGAGCCATAATGAAGAACTGTAGTAGTAGTAGTAGTAGTAGTACTACTACTACTACTACTAGTAGCAGTAGCAGCACCAACCACAACAAGTACTAATGCTGCTGCTACGACGAAACCGACGACTACTAACATACTAAGGTAACTACTACGTACTACCTACTACAACGACGAATTCACCACTACAACTACTACTACTACTACCACCACCACCACCACCACCACTACTACTACTACTCCTGCTGCAGCTACTGCTGCTGCTGATGCTGCTACTACTACTACTACTAGTACTACTACTACTACTACTACTACTACTGCTACTACTGTTGCTACTAGCACTACCAGTATAGCGAGAACTGGTAGCTAGTGGTACTAGCGCACAAATACTTCTCAGTACCAGCTCCTCTGTTTCGAGATCGTACGAGACCTCTGCCAAAGTCCGTGGTGAAAAAGCTGTAGGGCCTAAAGATTGGAGACGGCACAGGGCATGGTGACTGAATGTCTGGATGCATTTCAACCAATCCTGGACCCGCTTTCCCCACGCACTTGGCCCACACTCAATCACACAAGCCAGAAATCCTCAAAAGAACTGCCGGGCTCCACCGAACCCGCAGCTAGGACACTCCGAAGCCTCAAGCATGTCAATAACATCAGGGGGACCTCCACACACCAGGGTGTTTTTCATTATGGCCAATCTCGAATTTGCTGGCCGGGCTCGTGGCCAGAAGCTGACTCTGCTTCCAATTCGGCTTTCTCCTAGCCGTCGGGGCAGTTGGGTCTCAGTTTGCTCGAGCTTCAACAAGATTTGCGCAAACCTGCAGTGCATGCTTACCGAAAACTCGGCAGTTCAGACGCGAAAACTTGAAACCACCTAAAGCTCTTCTTTGCCACTGTTGATGGCAATTGAATTCTTCACCTGGGGAGATGTTGTGGCTTCCACTGCTACATCTGCGTTGGTGCGCTGTTCTTCAACAGCATCAAACTTTGTGGCCATCATCAGCAACATCATCATGGCGACCACCATCTCACCACTTTATGCACTTCACATTGCCGTCGTCGCTGTTGCTTTTGTGGATACAGTGGTCGCGGTTGTGGAGAACAGGTTGCAACTGAATCTGGTTATGCAAGCTGATGCAGAGAAGCTTCCGGTGATGGTGGCTGTGGTCACGGTAAGGATGGTGGCCGAGGGGGTGGCGCTGCTGGCAGTTGTGATAGTGCTCAGAGAATATTGGAGACGGCAGCGATGCTTCTGCGGGAATGGTCATGAAACGACTGTCGGCAGGGTAGCGCTAATAACGGAAGTGGTGAGAATGGAAATGATGGGGCTGGGGGATGTCGATAAGGGTAGTCATGCTTGTGGCCATGACCCTGATGATGATGATGATGATGATGAGGATCAAGAGGGTGAGGGAGCATGCGGGTGCCTTCAGGAGCTCGGCGAGCTGTGCATCAACATCCTGCAGAACGCAGCTTCGCTCTTGCCATGAGTGAAGGGTCTCAGGCGGCATCCTCGGTGCTCCGATCCCGAAGTTGCTGGAGCTCCTGAAGTCGCGGCCCACTCCAACCGTACCAGGCTTAGGGGTTCTGTACGGCAGGAGTCTACCGACCATCCCCGACACCCTTGCGATTCATCCACAGGGCCAGGGCTGCACGAAACAGTCCGTCCGCTCTACGAATGTTATGATTTGAAAAAGATGGTCGTGTTCAGGCGGCTCCCGAACCTAGAATCTAGAAAGCATGGTCGAATCGAATCAGTGATAGTCGAAGAAGTTGAAGAAGTTCGAAACAACATGTCCTTTTCCAGTGCTGCTTTGGACTCAAGCTTCTTGATCTGAGCCATGCCAGGTCTCGGCTGCAGCTTGCCATCTGCTGGGGGAATCTTAATATCAGGGCTCCTTTCAGGGGGTCGTCTGTCTACGTACCTAGGACCGCCCATTTTTCTGAAGCTCCATGCTGATTCGAGCTTCAATAGCCGATGCAGTAACCCTGGACAAAGCAATGATCCTGAACGCCTATGCATCAAAAGCAATGAAGTCTCTTTGCTCGGGATTAGTCAAGGCTGAAGAGCCGGTGAGCATGAAAGGATGTTGTGCCATGCGGCGTCTCCCCTTGCCTCAGTCGCTCTTCAATGGCCGCGATGTCGGCGAGTTTCTTCTCCAAGCGCTCAATCCTCGTTCTGGGGCAGCTCGTCGGTTCCGGGCATCTTCACTACAAGTTTGGCTCATGATTCAGAAGAACCGTCAAGACAAAAGTCTGTGTGATCACGGACGCCCAAACTCCTATATAGCCCGATTACAGTCTTGTAAAAGCGCGGCATGATCTGGGATTCCTGTAGGGGGCTCTCTCTCTGTCTCTGGCTGAGGCTAAAGGCTGCCAGAATCTTGAAGCAAAGGATCTGGTCCGAGCTGTCTGCGGGATCCTTGTTGCTGCTGGCCTCGTCCCATTCCTTGCAACAGCAGACTTGAGCTCAGTTCCACAGACTCAGACGTGAAACCTTGTGGTGTGGTGCCTCACCATGCCTGACCGGCTGGCATCCAACTCAAACTGCTACCTGCCAATGCTGCCCTGAGCATCTCAAACCGCGAAACGCTTTCCGGCCTTGCAGTATCCGAGGGCCACTCGACAGAAGCTGCTACGAATGTGTGTCGCCACCCTAGCTCATGCAGACGGCAGCAGGATGGTCGAAGCTTAAGGCATGAGCAGCCTTTGTGCATAGTAGTGTATGAAAGGGAATGTCTCTCATGTTGATGTAGGATCGGTTCTGTGGTTCAAACATACTCTGGCAGCCCGGCAGAACAGCAAAGCAATGACAAAACCCTGCCCGTTCCGACCGACTCCAGACCAGAACCCCTTCCGATACACCGGCGTATGGAACCCTCAGATTCCTATCGGTCTCAGATGTCGACGGCGGATCAAATGCTCCTACAGATCTTAAAACCGTTTGGATGTCGAACCCTCTGAAAAGGCTGAATTGGCGTCCACAGCATCTTCGAAATAGTGGGAACCCGCCGGCGATGCCGGTCTCGGGGATGACGGCCTGTCCAGGCTTTTCCGTTCGAAAGCTGCCGCTGGCGTTGGTGCGAGTCCAATCCATGACATGCTGTTGCAATGCCATCTTTGGGATCAGTACATCGATTGTTTTCCATCAGCACCGCTTTTGCTTCGGATCGGTATCACTTGTGTGTGTGTGGGCATGTGTGGACTTCCCCTTTTAAAGGACCTGTGTAATACCCTTATACCTGACAGTCCCTTCTGTATACCTCCCAAGTAGCATCCTCGACATGGTCGATTTTACAGTTGCACCCAGGGCTATCGATTTTAGCACTGTTCTGCCGATCGCATGTTTTCTGCTGCTGCTACTCCTACTACTACTGCTCCTGCTGCTGCCAAATGCTTACCATGCAAGACTTCTTAATTCCTCTTCGCTCCCCAGCTCTCGGAGATCTGCGAAAAACAAAAGCTGGAAACCTTGGAAACACTCCATGAGTTCCTCAAGTCGCTCTTGCCCCTGAAACGAACATGAAATCCCTTCAAGCCTCCGAACCCCTGTTCCTTCCAGGGAGCGCCTCGGACTCTGCAGCCGCGGCCCACGGGTTTGGCCACGGCCCCCACGGCCCCAGCCCATGGCGTTGAAGAGGGATTCGAGTTTCGGTGTCTTTTTCTGACTTTGGCTGGACTTGCCGAGTTGACATGAATTTGGGCTTGACTCAGGGTCCTACGCAAGCCTTCGGCTTCTGGCAGCGGCAGCGAAGACCACAGGGTAACAAGCGGCATCGGCGGCCCAAGACCCGTAGCCGGCCTGCAGATTCAGTGATTCAGGGTTTTTTGTCAAAGTCACTCCACTGAAAGACAGAAGCCCAAAACACGTTGGGTAAGTTCAAGTGTGGACAGGATTGTACAAGCAGCCGACGACAGGCAGGGTAGGCTTGGGCTAACAGGGCAATCACGCACAAAACACGTGCTGATAAGCCAACCCGCATCGAAGAAAGGGTATTCAATGTTCGAGCTTACACAAAAAGCCCCAAGGAGCCCCTTGAGGCAGGGTGGCTCTTGCTGCTTCTTTCCCAAGCTTTCACGTCCCAGTATGTAATGTCGCAAGCGTGTCCCTCCTCGGTATAACCGTGCAGCCAACAAGCTCCTCGGCGTCCAAATCGGCAGAAGTCTTTGTTTAACGCATGTCTCAAATATAGATGAGGATTAGGCATAAAAGGAGCAGAAAAGGATTTTCTCAAGCTTTAGCCACTGGCACCGGATTGGTGGGAGACACGGATCCAAAGGCCCTTATGCGCATCTGCTTGCAAGGGGTGGCCTCGCGCCACCCGGGCAAGAACTCGGGAACCAAAACTCGGCTCTTGGAAAAGAACGCAACCACTCTCCAGCCGAACTTGCAGAGACGCAGAGAAAGTCTGGATCTCCTGATCTTGCGAGATCTGCTCCAGGCTCTGGCAGTCTGAGCCCGTGCACTCCAGGAGCTCTTGGGTTTCACTTACCCACTCCAGGGTCTCTTCCCGTATCCAGGCGTGCGAAGTCCAGGGAGCACTTTCGGCCCAACGCTTGAAGCCTCGCAGGAGTTCTAAGCCACTCAGGTACAGAAAGAGGCGCGCGGCGGCGGTCACAGCACAGGCCGACGCGATGGTCTTCATCGTGCAGCGCACTATCTGCTGAATGCCGCCTCTGTCGTCATCGTCTTCTTCGAGGGCCTGCTTAATGGCTGGGATGAACCTGCCATCATACATCTCGGCCCAGCCAGCGTGAGCAGACCCGTCCGGGTCCTGCAGAATCCGAATGTGGCTCCGTAGCTCCTTCAGAAACAGCAGCAGCTGCGACGCTTCCAGCTGCTTCTCAACGTAGCTCTTGACATCTGTTAGCAAGAGAGGCTCAGGTATGGAGCTCCCCAAAACCCAAGCAAATAAAGCGTTGCAGATGCTCAGTGGCTTGTCGGCCTCGAGCACGTGACCTGAATCTTATCAGATGCGCTGTCCCTAGGCTTACCTCTCTTCTCACAGAATTGCCGGGCTGACAAGCAGCGCCACACTGGATATCACTAAATGTCCAACTACGAAATCGGACCCTGTAATGCCCATGCAGAGAACTTTCGCCAGGTTGCCGAAGCCGCCATGCTTGTGAGGCATGTATTGCGCCTTGCACGCATTCTCTCGCGAGTGACCCATGTAGCAGCAGTGGTAAGTATAAACGCTGTAGGTCATGGGCATGACCAGACGCATTGCGATCTCTTTGCACCTGTCTCTGTTGGCTACTGCGGACGACGACATTTACGACGGCAGTGGCGGCGACGACAACGACGAGAGGGACTACCAATGCTGCTGCTACCACTATCACGACGACTACCACTACTAATAATTATGCTGACATCTACTGCGTTACTGACTAGCAGTGTTAACAGTAATCCAAAAGCGCTTGCAGCAACACCACTAAATGCAAAACATGGGCAAGCGAGTTCATAAAAAAAGAAAACCAGCAGCAGACAAAACATCAAAAGCCGCCGCCACCCCAGCAAGAAGAAGAAGATGCAAGCAATGCCATATTGACATGAGAGTCCGGACTCAAGACCATGTAACGTGGGGTTCGGCTCGAGGGCGAGGCTACACGAATGGTTTGGGGAGCAAAATAAATAGCAAACATCATGGAGGCAAATGGCTTCGACACATGTGCCAACCCCTCAAATCCCCTCAAACTCTGCAGGGCCGGCAGCAGCAGCAAAAAACACAGTGGCCATAGCAAAATTTGAAGGCTGGCATGCCGGATCCTTGAGACTATGTAGTTCCTGCCACAGCAACAGAACAAGGACCGTCACGGCAGCTTAGTGGGAGGAACATTGAGGCTACCCAGCCACCATGAGGGACGGCCTGCAACGCATTGAGAACGGAGGCTTCCAGTCTGGCCTGGAGAAGCGAAGTGGGACTTGGGCCATGGAAATTGACAGCTCTGTACTGGCGTGTTTTTGTTTGCAGCTTCATGCGCACGAGCTTTGAGACAACAGCATCCAGTCGGCTAGAGATGATTGGAGAGCCCTGAAAATGCACAGCTACTCCTGTTAGTGCCACGACTGGTACCTGCACGATCCTACGGTAGTTCTACTCTGCGACGCATATCATCATCGCATTGTACCGCCCTGGATGTGAGAATCTGCTTCGGCCCTGCAAGAGATGTTGCGCTCCTCCCAGACTTGCAGATCAGAAACATCAGCATCACAAGAGTTATCGGGAGAGCACCAGGCCCATCAGACAACCCGCAAGAACAAATCCTTACATGTGGACTTGCGTCAAAAGGCATCTTGCCAACTTGCATGCAACAAACACCTCATTCTGGAAACAAAACAAAAGCTCCTGCAGCCCTTTCCAAGCCGTGCCTTCACGCACGTCCTAAGAAGCTGAGGACCCAATGAGTAGCCCGAATCCCGAAGCCATCAGCCCGGCATCTCAAGAACGGGCAAGATATGAAATAAAATGAAAATACACTATAACTATATAATTATATAACATGCAATATGTTATCTTTAATGCGTTGTAGAATAAATATAGAACATACACACAGCGCAAAAGCAACATCTTTCGCAGCCCGATCCCGAAGCTGCCTCGTAGCTGCCAAAACATGTCAGCAACAGCGGTCGACCCATGGCAAGCAGCTGAACCTCACGTGTGAGGTCATGGGTTTCTCCTCATACCCCAATCCGACGCCCTGAGCACGGGGTAGATGAAGAGTACTGTCTTTGCAGCAGTTTGCTGGGAATCGTCCTAGTGTCTCCCTGAGCCCGCAAAAAACCATGACTGACCTGCTGACATTCCCGATAGAGCTATACAGGTTTGAATTGGGTGTCCAGGCGATCCAGGCGCCATACTTAGATCCTGGGGTTCTGGAGGCTTTGGGAATGTGAACTGCCCAGTGCACACCACCTGACTCCGGCTAGGTTTACGAGTTGTTGGTGAAGGATATGGCAGCGGTCAGTCCAGGCGCTCCGTTGCCATCGACCCTGTAAGGCCCAGCAGCCTGTGTCACAACCCAGGGAGCCCAAGAGAAACACTTAGCCGCTGACCAAAGTCTGGATCCAAGGTTTCATGTGCACTGGCACACTTGCACCCAAGCCTGTTTCAGGGCAAGGGAAAAAGATTCGCATTCCGAGTCATGCCGAGCACCACTCCATAGACACCCTCAAAATGGACATGCCGGGCCTGAGTTGAAGGCACAAACAAAGGTGGGACGCCGCAGATGCTGGGGCATCACAGCTTCGTGGGCCAGGCATGCGAAGGTGTAGACCCTGATGCCCGAGTGGGTGAGGACTGCCTGCGCCATGCTGAGCCAATGTAGTTGCGGTTCTTCACAACGTCACAACCCAATGCAACTCGCCCGGTAGAACGTCAGCGTACGCCACTGAGAGTAAGAACGGCTGGCCCTCATCAAAGACTCAAGGCCGGCAAACCTGCCGGGCCGAATTAATGTCTGTGACGTTTGTGCCTTGTCCTCACTCATCTCGGGTCCGACGAGAACCTAGCAACCGAGGCGACGGTCGGCTGACTGTGGTCAAAGGGGAGAGGCGGGACAGGCTCTTCGTCAGCGTGCGGCTCTTTGCTGCAGAATGTTGCAGCAGGTCTCTTGCAACCCTTGACCCTAAAACCCTAAAAAGATCCAGGAAGACTTAGACGCCTGAGCCAAGCTGCCACGTCCCAGCCCACTTCCAAGCACTCGAAGAGCCGCTGCCAGCCTCCTTCTCATAATGTAGGGCTTATAGGGTTTTGGGACCTTAATAATTAGAATGGGGATCCTTTGAACTTCAAAGGGTTACTATAAGGGTTACTACGAGGGTTCTACACGGGTTTAGCGTTGGGGTCTTCATAATAAGAATAGGGTTTAGGCAGGGGTATATTGTAGGGTAATTATATCATCAGGAACCCCGAAAATAACAGTATAGGTAATTATTAAGGCCGCTATATTACTTGTGTATCTCCAAGTCAGAGCGATAAAATGGCCTTCTGTAAAACGATTCCTTCAGCACACGAGGTGAACGTGCACCGTTCTCGTCCACCGATATGGATAATGAGAATGCCCGCAATGTGAAATGCTATGCGTGGCCCTTCGCTCTCAGCCGCTGCTGCACAGTCCCTGTCATTCTTGGACTTAACACCTGCCACAGGATAGCCTCTGTCCTTGAACGATTTGGCGCTTCTCGATGCCATCACGAGCTCCGAGCACCCACATCACCTCCAGCGGAACCCAGCAAAAGGCACGAAGGCATGCCAAGTATGTAAGGACTGCGCTTGTTCGGGAGTGCAGGGAACGGATCCTTACCACACAGACTAGAGGGAGATGACGATTGAGACATGTCCACTCCGGGCCCCGAGCCACGAAGTTTTTGTAGTTGCTATGTTGTCTGGGCTTGAGCGACTCCCGGAGTGAGCGGCAGACAGCACAACTTGAGGAGCCACGCTTGAGGGGATCGAGCACACTTCAACTCTGTGCAGCCAGTCACGCAACGCCCATTGACAGGCTCTAGTCCTCAGCTTTCCCACACACACGCCCATCATCATGACTGGATACCATGAAATCACCTTAACACCAACCGTCAATGACCTGCAGGTCTGCCTGGTCAGACTCACGAAACTTGCTGCCGTAGAAATGGCATCGAACCCCAAAGCCAAAGCTGCAAGCCCAAAGGCCAGACTTGTCTTCTGGAGCAGATGATGCCAGCATCCAGCAAACTACATACTATGCACCGTACCTTATTCGTCAACTACACAGAATCCCTGAAGCTTGGAACTACAACACACTCTTCTCGGCATCTTCCGCACACTAGCACCGAAGCATAAAAATGCCATGCCAGGGGTCTTGCAGAGGAAGGCAAGCTCTGCAGCGCCTGTCCCAGGCCCAGGCCCAAGGGGGATCTTCCATCGGGTCTACTCTTTTTGGGCGACGGTGTGGGTTGAGGTCTGGGTCTGGGGGTGTTGCCGTCATAGGTGCCAAAAAAGTCTATAAATGAGACAAAACATCGAAAAGGTTGACAGAGCAACTGTGGGCCTCCAGCGTTGCCACGCCAAAGCACTGGCGGTGCTTCACCCTCTCCACCTGGCAGGCGGATTTCAAGAAGCAACCAACCATGGGCGACTTGAAAGCCTTCGATCGTGTCGTGACATGCTGAATATATAATATAATATATAATATATAATATATAATTATATAATTATATAATTATATAATTATATAATTATATAATATTGTCCCCTCTTCCAGCAAAGCCAGAAGCCAGTCACTCTCAAGATACATTTGGCATGCCCTGCACGCCACATGATGACTGACATGACCGACAAGGTCCACACCTGCTCCTTGCTCGATGCACCTAGCTCGCCGAGATAGTCCTTTCCACATCATCGTTGACAGCAGTGATCCACAGATGATTAAGCGCACGGGCCCCTCTCTTTAGGTGCATTCTCAAGTCCTCAAACCGGAGACGCTTGTCGGGTTGATGAGTTGCTGTGTTTGGTGATCTGGCTTTCAATCATCCCTGTACTAGAAGCCTCGCGCGGCACGGTGCTGCCTTGGTTGCCAAAGCCTTAGGCCTTAGGCTTCGGCGGATGGCCTGCTGCGTGCTGAGGCGACATCCCCGCACCCCAACCCTACGACCTCATGCCACAACCGTCCTGCCAGCCCTTGGCAGCAAACGGCCGCAGCTCGCGCCGCAAGTCGTGAGCAGAGGGAGTTGGAGCCACCTCCAGCTCTCGTTGATGTACTGTACTTGCTTTCAGCAGGCTCGGGAGAGCACGCCCTCTGAGAAGTCTTGGAAAGTCTGTTTTTTTCAGGCTTGCTGAGGTCTCAGCCTGACGCCTTGCATTTGCATTTTTACATGCAGACATGGCTTCGTTTTGGGCTTGCAATACTGTGAAGAGCACAGACAGGGAAGCAACTCCAGGTACGACCCCAAAACAAGTTTCAGACCCTTGTCTGACTTATTCAGAGCAAGCTACGGCAATGCCAGCTGTGGTCGTGGTGCAGCTTTGCTTGTGCTGCGGCCAATGCTGCCGTTGACATGGAACCTCGAGATCATTCAAACTGAAGGCTGGCTTGATACTTCCATTCTGCGTACACCGCCTGACCTCATCTCTGCCCGTGAATATCTCAACATGCGCAATTGACTTTCTAATGTCTCGCTGCGGAAGACTGCGGCCGACGGGGCGGAGCAGTAGGGCGCCTTACACCTGCTGCATCTCAAAGATGTCGGGCTGGCTGAGCAGGCCACGCCTTTGATGCGTCACTGCCAAGCTTGGCTACCAGAGTACGAAGTTGTTGCTGGCATGACCTTGCATCTTGGCCACAAGCGGGGCATCAGTGGAGCATCTAAACAACAACTTTGTTTGTTCGCCTTCCTTCTGCTGATCGCACCTCGTCACGCTTGCAATCACGCCTCGCCTCGAGGCATGGCCTGCCACATGCAGCCATGCATCATACCAGTTGTCCGGGCTCCGGAGCTGAATCCACAGCGTCACTGCCAAACCATGCCATGGGAAGTTGGTGCAAACCCTGATTTGTCAGTTGTCCAATTATTCGAGATCTGGCTTATACTGACAATGTGCGAATGGCAGTAGATGCTCTCGACAACCCTGTCTGTCGTATCCTGGAGACTTTGACCAAGCCATGTACACCAAGTGCAGCGAACGGCGCCAAGCCTGAAATGCTCGACAGCAGCTGTGAGACAGTATCGCCCCACAATGCATGCCAACAGGGTCTCGCGTTTAAAGTTACCAGCAGGAGGGTACCCTTAACGTCCGCACACCAAGACACCACGCTGCAATCGCAAACCCTGCACTTTGGCCTTTTGTCCAAGGCTTTGAAGAGGGGACGCTTCATGCACCGACAGCTGTCCAGCTTCTGGCACCGGACCCGGCTTCACGTAAGCAGTTTCGCAGAAACAGGTCAGCAAATCATATAACCGAGATAGCTTCCCGGCTCGACTTACTGGAAAAGCAGCTACGGTAAAATCACGAGACCGCTGGTGTTTAATCTCTGGCATCCGAGCAGCCCTGTCCAAAACCAACGGTTTATTCACTTGCTCCTAAAATTCAGCACCCAGATCCGACAGCTGTGAAGATTGCCGGAGTCTTTGCCCGGCGGCTACTACATGACACTGGCACGGTACACCTCCGAACACTGATGGCGAATGATTGAGTGGGGCTGATTTGACGGTCGTGTTGAAGTGGTAAGTCGGGATACGCGACTTTCACTTGCTCAACAAAGCAAACCGAAATCCGAAGCCGCAGTCGTCGTGCGCGGAGATTTCGCCAATGCCCAGTAGGGTGTTCGGTGGAGCGTGAGACACGACGGTGATCTTTTTCAACTGGTCCCCTACCACAACCGCAGAATGCAGCTTTCCGTCGGACGACATGCAGTGTTGACAGAATATTGCTTCCTGTTTGAGCTCGAATCACTCTATCGGCATCTAGTCCAAGTCCTGCAACTCACTGTCGGCACCTGCGAGCTGGCGAGCTGGAGGGGCATGCGGCTTTTAATCACGGCACCTGGTAAACACTACAACCGAAACATTGGTGACCCGTTAGCTTTGGAATCTGGAAGAAGCCACGATTGGCCGAGACCTCGGCCCCTCCCGTCCCACCTGATGCCGCGGCCTTCTTCTTCTCATCCCTGTAGGCCTCCTCAGCTGCACACACATATGGGCACATTACGATTTCTGGATCTACCAACCATGTCAGCAGACATCACAAATCGATCATCTTCAATTCGCCCAAGATTGGGTGTATTGACATTGACATGCAAGTGTCGATGGACCCTGTCAAGGAAGTCAAAGGCATGAGCAGCAGCGAGGGCTCGTGGTGCCAATGCCTCATACACAACCTGTTTAGACCTGGCAACTTGTTTAACATTGACCAAACTGCCAATAACCCAAAACTTGGTGCAGCTTCACACGTTGGCATTAACTTGTACTCCAGCAACAAGTCTAACATGGACGCTGAATTTCCCAGTCCCTGAGCATGTTCCGATCTCCGAGCAGAAGACACTTGCAGCAGCATTTGCCGCATCCACGGCCAGTTCCGCCTCCTGCCGGGTGTTTCGAACACCCTATTCCCTTTGGACAACAGTATACCAGGGCAAAGCCAGCACAAAATCTCCTTGGAACTCGCATCCCAGGTAATAAGGGTCACCCAAAAAAACACACAAGGAAAAATCAGGACAAGGACATTCCGTACGCCATATAAATCCCGTTATAATGAAGCCCAATAAGGTACGGATATCCTCGTGAAATATTTATGCTTATGTCTTATGTCCTTTTCGGGTCCCTAATGTAATTTCATGCTGCAGCACGTGCCCCTTCAGCCGACAGCAGCAAAGCCATCCATCGTTGCCGCATTTATGAAAACCGATGCCTTGTTCTTCTCTTCTAGGTCCTTCCACAAGTCAGGAACCTCAGATAGCAAGCTCGCTTGCCTAGGTTTTTGGTTCACGTGTTCAGGCTCCAACTCAGCCCCCGATAAGCAAGCTTCCTTGCTACAGGAAAACCACTCAAAAACAGCCAGCTCTTGGTCCATGGCTGGTCGCTTCGAGTGAGGCTTGCCCGGAAGATCGCACTTTGCAATACAGCTATGCCACCTGCCTCCCTAGATTAGATTGCAATGCCGACTGCACATGATACAGTATCGTCTGGTATGGTATGGCACAGCATTGCATAAGATAGCACAGTATAGTACAGTATCCTGGAGCGTATAGTACAGTATAGTCGAGTAATGTTTGTAGAATACAGTGTAGTATAGTATAGTAATAGTCTGTTGTAGCAAAATATGGTGCAACGCAGCATGGTGACGTGTAGTACAGTATGTAGTTTTTGTTTGGTATATGGCACAGGCATATAGTAGTATAGCATGGTATAGCATACTACAGCATAGCACGCCGCAGGATTGTACAGTATCGAACAACATGGTACCGTATGGTACAATGCGAAATTTTATTTATTATATACTATGTATTGTTTACTGTGTACGATACTTTATACTGTGTACTTTGGGCAGGCCGCGGGCCGCGCGTAAATAATACTATTGCGGTACCTCGAACTGTAAACGATGTGTTGTGCTATATGCTCTCCCATGACATAGTACAGCCTAATCAACAGAACAGAACAGACTACAATGCAACAATTTCTTATTTATCTATTTATTCATTTATGTATTTATTTATTCTTTTATTTATGCACACATATATAT